TCTTTCTTTCTTTTCTTTTCTTTCTTTCTCTCTCTCTCTCTCTCTCTCTCTCTCTTTCTTTCTTTCTTTCTTCTTTCTTCTTTTTTTTTTTTTCTGGAGACAGAGTCTCGCTCTGCTGCCTAGGCTGGAGTGTGGTGCCATGATCTCAGCCCACTGCAACCTCCGCCTTCCATGTTCAAGCAATTCTCGTGCCTCGGCCTCCCCAGTAGCTGGGACTACAGGCATGCGCCCCCATGCCTGGCTGATTTTTGTATTTTTAGTAGAGACAGGGTTTCACTGTGTTGACCAAGCTGATCTCAAACTCCTGGCCTCAGGTGATCCACCCACCTCGGCCTCCCAGAGTGCTGGGATTACAGGCGCGAGCCACCGCGCCTGGCCATGTTAGTGCCCTCTTTCTAGGTCAGCCTCACACCTGCTTGTTCATTTGTTCTTCAAATTCTCAGGCACTTTCTCACCAGGCAGTCACTTAGCTCATGTGACCTACCCGCCTTGGCCTCCTAAAGTGCTGGGACTATAGGCATGAACCACTATGTCCAGCCCTTCTTTTTTTTTTTTTTAGAAAGATTTTGTTTTTGTTTCCATCAGAATGTCATATATATTACACAAATCAAATCTGTTGACATCTCAAGCATATAACAATTAAACGCTCTTACAAATTACGTAGGAATTATGTATACTGTGAGAAGTGTTATAATTATATAATCTATGTGATAATTTAGAAGTAACGAAGTAACAGAAGTAACAAAGCCTTGTAATTGAATAAAGTAATAAATGTGTTACTAGATTATCACAATTGATAAGTAATTGATAAACTATCTTCTTTTTCCTTTGACCCTTTTTCAAGTCTGTTCTAGTTTATTTTCTTTTTCATAGAGTCATTAACTATAGGCACAGACCCATGATTTTTCCCTTTTAATGTTCTTTCTTCCTTTTACTAAATTCTACTATATGGCAGGTGAAAAAAAGAGTAGTATATATTCCATTTTCCAAAGAGGTTACTAATTTGAATTAATAATTGAATGATTAGAATCAAAGGATCATTTGAGACATTTTGAGAAATATATTTCATTCAGCATTTATGTTTTAGGGATTCTCAAAATATGGACATATTAGAAAGAAAATAGTATACTTAAATTGGACTTATGATAGATTTTCAAAAAATTTACTCCATAACAGATTTCTGCAGATCTGTAATATTTTCAATTTTTTTTACACTGATATCAATATTTCTGTGTCCTGAATAATTGACACCTAACACAAGCCTGAAGACCTGAGTCTGAGCGTTCTTTTTAAAAAATGTTTTGTCATCAAATTATTTTTGTTCAGGGTTTAGAATTTGTTACTTTGGCAACAATGGTTATTTATTATTGAAATTTTGGATGAGTTATGAAAAATATAACAGACTGTGATAGTAATCTCATTAATAGTGAAAAAGAGATAAGCAAGAATGCAAAGAGAGTAATTTCTTCAGAAACATATAATGGGAAAAACAGATGTTTTATCTTTAAAGATACTGGGTACTGTTGTGGTTTTATCCATCTTCATAACACATTTTTAATTATCTCCACAATTATCAAAAGTTGAGTCTTCCATTAGTTCAAATTGTAATATCCATGTTAGACTCAATTAGTGAGGGACAGAGATTTTACAGGTGAACTGGGAGCAGCCACAAAAATCCCTTTCCCTTTTCTCAACCACTGGGAAAATTATCTTCCACTCTTTGCCTAGATTTGAGAGCTGTCAAGCATTAGAACTTCTGGGTGTAGATTTGTTTTCCTCCCCACAGCGTATGGAAGGACTGAATCTTGCCCTGAAGAAAAATCACTGGATAAGAATATTTTTCTGTTTAATCCTCTCCTATATACTCACTTGTTATTCTTTATCCTTTTTCCTCTTGATTCCGAAGTTTTCTTTTCCATTGTAAACATTCTCTAACTGTGGACTACTTTTTGGACTTGGAACTTCAAGCCACTGGTGAATTGTGAATCTCATTGCTAAACTGAAAATCTACATGTCAAATTGGCGCCTGAGATTCATTAAAATTTCTACTTAAGCTGAGCATTCTTATTTTCTAAGGCCTGCTGAGTACCTTCAGAGAAAATTTGAAGCTCAACAATATAAGCTGAAAGTGGAAAAGCAATTGGTAAGTAAAATAACAAATATGGGAGGCAATTAGGAATTTCCTAATAGTTTTTGTATTCACAGATATTCAAGTCAAAGTTTTTTCCACCAGAAAGTGAAGACTACTCTCTGCCAGTCCCCAGTTATTTTTTGTTTTTTATTTTTTGAGACAGAGTCTCGCTCTGTTACCAGGCTGGAGTGTAGTGGCAGCATCTCAGTTCACTGCAACCTCTGCCTTCTGGGTTCAAGCAATTCTCCTGTCTCAGTCTCCTGAGTAGCTGGGATTATAGGTGCCCACCACCACACCTGGCTAATTTTTGTATTTTTAGTAGAGACAGGGTTTCACCATGTTGTTCAGACTGGTCTTGAACTCTTGACCTGAGGTGATCTACCCGTCCTGGCCTTCCAAAGTGCTGGAATTACAGAATGTGAGCCACTGCACCAGGCCTGAATCCCCAGTTTTTAGTAGCTAAAGAAAATAATGGGAACAGGCTTGAATCAGAGTCTTAGCAGCCCTGATTCTTCCTTGGCTCTGTCTCTTCTGTGGGACCTCGGACAGTTCATTCAACCTATCTGAGCCTTAATTTCCTTTTCTATAAATGAGAAAATTTAGAGTAGATGAGCTTCAAATTTCCTTGTAGTGCTTTGGTTCTATTTTGTTAAAGATTCTTCTGCACATTAAAAAAAAGTGACTATGCCAGGTACGATGGCTTATACCCGTAATCCCAGCATTTTGGGAGGCCAAAGCTGACAGATCGCTTGAGCCCAGGAGTTCGAGAATAGCCTGGGCAACATAGTGAGACCTTATCTCTACAAAAAATACAAAAATTAGCCAGGCTTTATGGCATGTGCCTGTAGTCCCAGCTGCTCAGGAGGCTGAGGCGGGAAGATGGCTGAAGCTCACAGTGGTTACAGAGAGCTAAGATTGCACCACTGCACTCTGCCTGGGTGACAGAGTAAGACTCTGTCTCAAAAAAAAAGAAAAAAAAAAAAAAAAAAAAGTGACTGTTGTATTTTATTTGAAATGAAAGTTAACCTTTACCCTTAAATACTCTCAGAATTCTGGGGCTGAGAGGGGCTGGATTTGCACCCTATTTGTATTACTCTTGTTTCAAACCGCTGAAAACTTGTAGTTATATTCTTCTACATAATTCATGCTCTGGGGTTGCTAACCCTTTACAAAGCTTTGGTATCACAATTATAACTTAACATTTCCTAAAATAAATCTACATATCTCAAAAGGTAGCATAAAATATGGGTCACTTAGAATAAGCTACTTAAATGGTCAAATTAATTTTTAAAAATTGTTTACTATATGTGTGGCACAGTGGCTCACACCTGTAATCCAAACACTTTGGAAGGCCGAGGCAGGAGGATCGCTTGAGCTCAGGAGTTCAAGACCAGCCTGACATCATAGTGAGGCCTTATTTCTACAAATTTTTTTTTTTTTTTTTTTTTTTTTTGAGACGGGGTTTCACTCTTGTTACCCAGGCTGGAGTGCAATGGCGCGATCTCGGCTCACCGCAACCTCCGCCTCCTGGGTTCAGGCAATTCTCCTGCCTCAACCTCCTCAGTAGCTGGGATTACAGGCACGCGCCACCATGCCCAGCTAATGTTTTTGTATTTTTAGTAGAGACGGGGTTTCACCATGTTGACCAGGATGGTCTCGATCTCTTGACTTCGTGATCCACCCGCCTCGGCCTCCCAAAGTGCTGGGATTACAGGCTTGAGCCACCGCGCCTGGCCTTATTTCTACAAAAAATTTAAAATTAGCTAGACGTGACAGCATGTGCTTGTTGTCCCAGCTACTCAGGACACTGATGCAGGAAGATTGCTTGAGCCCAGGAGTTAGAGGTTGCAGTGAACCAAGATTATGCCACTGTATTCCAGCCTGGATGACAGAGTGAGACTCTCTCAAACAGAAATATGTATACATATTCTTATAGATATATATAAATATATATATAGATATATAGAATATGTATATATATATAATAAGTATATATATTTCTCTCTATATAAATGCTTTATACTTAAATTAAGAAAAATCTACTACTTACCACAAAACCCTCCCAGATATTGAGTTTGCTTAGTGATATGATTCTTGTTTATAGGAAAAAATCAAGGTCAAATCACAAGATGTTTCTGAAATAAAAGTATGCTTTTAAATTATTTCATTCATTAAATAGGGTCTTCGTCCATCTTCTGCGGAGCCAAATTACAACCAGAGAGAAGAGCTAAGAAGTAATGGAGAAGAGCCTAGATGCCAGGAGCTGCCATTTAGGAAAAACGAAATGAAGGAACAGGTTAAAGACTGTTTAATTCCAGGGCTACCATTGTATTTCTTTGTTTTACTGTCTTTCGTACGTTGTAGGAAGTTACTTCTATTTCCTACAGTGCCCCTGAGAGGACGCTGTTGTGTGAATACTTGGACACTCAATTTGTCAACACAATGCTGAGTGTTACAGGGGATACAGAGGTAGGTATTTCACTTTCTCAGAGAATGCAATATGTCTAAGTTCATGATGCTTTTCACCTTGGATTCATAGAGTAATGGTCCATCATTAACAGATTTGGCATTTGTATTAGTTTCCTGGGCTGCTGTAACAAAGTTCAACAAATTAGCTGACATAAAGCAGTAGAAATGTATCGTCTCACAATTCTGCGAGAGCAGAAATCCAAAATCAAGGTGTCAGCAGAACCAAGTGCCCTCTGAAAGCTGTAGGGGAATCCTTCCTTGCCTCTTCCTGGTTTCTGATGCATCGCTGACAATCTTTGGCATTTCCTTTATTTGCAGTTGCAAAACTCCATTCTCTGCCTTCATCACATGCTGTTCTCCCTGTGTGTCCCTGTCTTCATATGGCCATCTTCTTGCAAGGACACCAGTCATATTGAACTAAGGGCTCACCGGTATGATCTCAGCTTAACTAGTCACATCTGCAGTAACCCTGTTTTCAAATGGGGTCACATTCTAAGGCACTGGCGGTTAGGACTTTAACATATCTCTTTTTGGAGAGGGACAAAATTCAATGCATAACAGGGTTATATATAAAGGTGGAATTTATAAAGTAAGTGTACATCATGAATGCATTTGGGTTATACATAAAATCGAGCTCTGTGTCTGAAGCTGCTGTCTCACAGGGTATAAAGTACCCCAGCCAAACATAAGGCAGATTATCATTTTAGGAACAACAGATTTTTCTATCTTATTTTATATTACACACTTTTGAAACTGTAGGCTGCATAAGGATTATTTTTGTTATGGTGTTCATAAACACTTGAAAGTTTCTGGATAGGGTTTGCTTTCCAGGAATATTGGAAGCAGTTAGAAGAAATACGCCAACACTACCACAATGACATGAAAGAAATTAGAAAGAAGATGGGGAGAGAACTAGAGATAAGTTCTTTCTTCTAGGGGAAACATTGTTCTATCGATTTAGAGCTAACCAAATTGAGCTGCTATGAAAAGTAATGATTTCCTCATAGAAAAGATAAAGTTTTATCATAGAAATAATCATGCAGACTTCTTTTGTAATAGGAAAGCTGTCAGACCTCATTGGAGCTTCAGTTTATTATGGTTTATGAGAGACTGCACAAGATAATAAGGATATCTGAGATTGTCAGGAATGGCTATTATTAAAGTACCTATTGATTGTTTTCCTCATAAATCAGTCAATATGTATTTACTGAGCAGCAACTTTAGACAAGAACTGGATTAGATGCAGAAAGTCCAAAATGAGTATAAGTTCATGCCCAGAAGGAGAGGAAAAAAATCCCCCCACACTAGCATTTTTTCAACTATCTGCAGGGTAAGGTTCTAAAGGCTATTTAAGGCAAAATTTGAGTGCAGTTGAACTGATTCTTAAAAATCTCTTCAAGGCGCCACATTGGAAATTGATCATTCCATCTCCAAGAATGTCTATAGAGTTACTGCTTCTTCAGAAGCGCGTCAGATGAAATAGCCCGCCTGTGTTTGAAGACCATGTTGTAAGAAAGACACATGATAATTGAAACACTAGGAACACACGCAGTGCCCTAGAATGCCCTCCTAGGAGAAGCTTGCAGGCACTGAGATGGCTGTCTCCATCCCACTTGCACTGGCCACACACTCATTGAGTAGTGCCACCATGCTGCTGAAATTGATCTCTCTCTCTCTCTTTCTCTTCCACCACAGTGCATACAGATAAATTAATAGAAATCAAATGAATGTGTGGTACAATTCAGTTGTATTTGTCAGGCTGTGAACTAGAGCTTTCACATACTGTATTAGTCTGTTCTCACACTGTTGTTAAAGATATATCCGAGACTGGGTAATTTATAAAGGAAAAGAGGTTTATTGGACTCACAGTTTCACATGGCTGGGAGGCCTCACAATCATGGCAGAAGGCAAAGGAGGAGGAAAGTCATGTCTTACATGAAAGCAGGCAAGAGAGCTTGTGCAGGGCAACTCCCATTTATAAAAATCATCAGATCTTATGAGACTTACTACCATGAAAACAGTATGGGGGAAACTGCTCCCATGATTCAGTTCTCCATCTGGCCCCACCCTTGACACATGGGGATTATTACAATTCAAGGTGAGATTTGGGTGGGTACACAGCCAAACCATATCATACATACTACTACTACTACTACTACTGCTACTACTGCTACTACTACTACTTTCTTCTCCTTCTTATTCTTCTTCTTTTTTTTTTTTTTTTGAGACGGAGTTTCACTCTTGTTACCCAGGCTGGAGTGCAATGGCGCGATCTCGGCTCACTGCAACCTCCGCCTTCTGGGTTCAGGCAATTCTCCTGCTTCAGCCTCCTGAGTAGCTGGGATTACAGGCACGCGCCACCATGCCCAGCTAATTTTTTGTATTTTTAGTAGAGACGGGGTTTCACCATGTTGACCAGGATGGTCTCGATCTCTTGACCTCGTGATCCACCCGCCTCGGCCTCCCAAAGTGCTGGGATTACAGGCTTGAGCCACCGCGCCCGGCCTTCTTCTTCTTCTTTTAAAGACAGAGTTTCGCTCTTGTTGCCCATGCTGTTGTGCAATAGTGTGATCTCAGCTCACCACAACCTCTGCCTCCTGGGTTCAATCGATTCTCCTGCCTTGGCCTCCCTAGTAGCTGGGATTACAGGCACGAGCCACCGCGTCTGGCTAATTTTTGTATTCTTGGTAGAGACAGCATTTCTCCATGTTGGTCAGGCTGGTTTTGAACTCCTGTCCTCAGGTGATCCACCCGCCTCAGCCTCCCAAAATGCTTGGATTACAGGCATGAGCCACTGCACCCAGCCATACTTACTTTAATTTACCCCCATACAGAGAAGTTAAGTAGCTCATCCAAAGTCACTTAGATATTACAAAGCAGACTAAATATTTAAATATCTGACTTTAGGCTGGGCACAGTAGCTCATGTCTGTAATCCCAGCAATTTGGGAGGCTGAGGTGGGAGGATTCCTTTAGCCCAGGAGTTTGAGGCTAGCTTGGGCAACATAGGGAGACCCTCCCTGCTCTAAAAAAAAGTACAAAAAGGCCCAACGTGGTGGCTCATGCCTGTAATCCCAGCACTTTGGGAGGCCAAGGCGGGCAGATCATGAGGTCAGGATATTGAGACCATCCTGGCCAACATGGTGAAAACCCTGTCTCTACGAAAAATACAAAAATGAACTGGGTGTGGTGGTGCGCACCTGTAGTCCGAGCTACAGGTATTGATCGACTTACGACCTATGCAACTTACGACGATTCGACTTTACAACCACAATCGCTAGCCACAACTGCTCCACGTCTGGCAGCACAAACGTTGCCCAGCTGGGCGTACGACAGTGCGGACCAGCTTCCGGCAGCACTACCATCTCCGCGTGCACCATTTCAACTGTACATATAGCCTACTCAACTTACGACCAAATCGTGTTACGACTGGTCTGCCGGCCCCAATTGTGGTCGTAAGTCAAGCACTAGCTGTACTCGGGAAGCTGAGGCAGGAGAATTGCTTGAACCAGGGAGTTAGAGGTTGTGGGGAGCTGAAATCATGCCACTGCACTCCAGCCTGGCAACAGAGTGAGACTCAGTCTCAAAAAATATATATATATATATGTGTGTATAAAAATATATATACTCATACATATATATATTTACATACATGCACATATATACAAAAAAATTTTAAATTAGCTGAGCATGGTGGTTTGCACCTGTAGTGCTAGCTACTTGCGAGGCTAAAGCAGGAGGATTGCTTGAGCTAGGAGTTAAAGGCTGCATGATTGTACCACTGCATCCCTGCCTGGGATACAGAGCAAAACTCTGTCTCAAAAAAATAAAATAAAGTAAAACAAAACAAAAATCAGACTATAAAACCCCTACTTGGATTCATGCCTGTAGTCCTAGCACTTTGGGAAACCAAGGCAGAAGGATCACTTGAGCTCAGGAGTTTCAGACCAGCCTGGGCAACATAATGAGACTCCATCTCTATAAAAAAATTTAAAAAATTAGTGGGGCGTGGTGGCAAACACTTGTAGTACCAGCTACTCAGGAGGCTGAGGTGGGAGCCTGAGATTGAAACTGCTGTGAACTGTGATTGTTCCACTGCACTCCAGTCTGGGCAACGGAGGGAGATCCTGTCTCAAAAAATAAAAAAATATAATTAAAACCACTATTTTTTCTGGCATATGCAGATCTACTTGTAAATGGTTGGAATGATGAGACACAAAACTGTCACAGAGTAAGCCCCGTAGGTGCACAGGTGCCAAGATGAGCAGAATGAGCAGGAAATGGGTTTTTATGGAAGAAGTGAGTGGGGCCTAAACTGGGTCTGAGAAGAAGAGTGGAATTTGGAGAGGCAGAGTTAAGGCAGGGGAGTGGGCATTCTGAAAGAGCCATGCAAAGGTTGGAAGAGAGGACTGCGTGTCCTGGGAGGGGCAGCGTGGAGGTGGTTCTCTCCAGAGCAGAGGCCTGGCTCATGGTGGGCAACCTCGAGCCATCATCAGCCTTATGTCTAAAGCTGGTCTGGGATGGGCAGCCTGAGCCCTGCAGAAATGGATAGCAGACATTTCTACAGAGTCTATGGAGGAAGGACTGGGAAATACTGAGGCTGCCATGTGGAGAAGGAGCTATGAAAAGGGTTCTGTCCAGCCATTCCATTGATCACACATCAGCCAAGTAGCCTTCAGAGCTCACTCAGAACCACTCTTGTTGACTGCGTATAATTTGTGTTAAAGGAGAACTCAAAAATAAGTCATAATACCTATTTGGTGAAGAAGAGTAACCTGCCTGTCCATCAAGATGCATGTGAGGGAGAAGCACCTGTGCAGGTAATGATGGCTATTATCAGATGTGCGTGTGCTGTGGTGCGTGTGCTCCACCCGAGTGGCTCTTACCTTTTGCTGTGCGGCACAACCATGTAGGGAGCTTTTTAAAAATTCAGATGCTTCTCTCTGCCCTAGATGGTCTGGGATGTGGCTCAGGCATCCTGTCTGCAGAAGCTTGCTGGGTGATCTATTGTGCAGCTAGGTTTGAGAACTGCTGCTCTTTAGTATAAAAACCTTCCACTCTCTGGAGGGTCTGAGTCAGTGTCTCAGACACATTGGTCTAGAAATCTGACAGCCAACTTCTCTTCCATTTCAACCTTATGTTTTTGGTGGAGGTAAGAGGCTTGGCAGAGTTGAAATAACAAATAAATCTCAAGAGAGTTTTTTTCCCCGTCTGAGAAAAGATTATACAATTATAATGCAAGATGAATCTGTTGATTTCAACCAATTCTGAGAATTACTCAACCTGTGAAATAACCTGATAAACAGTGCTCTTATGATTACATGTTTTACTTTTCAAGGACTTATGTTGATTTTGTGAATAAGAAGCCCAAGTGTACTTTTATTTTTGCTTAGTAAGAAGATTCTCAATGATTTGGCCCCTAATGAGAATTATTACTATCTCATCTTTATAATTAGTGTAATTCTTTGTGTTTTAAATTATATCTATTATTAGAGCTTGATCCAGAGTCAACTAGAAATGGAAAATCCTCAAGGAATTATAAACTTGTCATTCAAAGGTGCCAGTAGGATCACAGTCAAATTCTGTGAAAACACAGCTCAGATGTTACAGATGTGTTTTTCTCTCACATTTTAACCTAGTTAGATTAAATCCAATGCCTTAATGTTTTTAAAAAGTCAAGTAGTTAAAAATAAACCAATGGAAGAACACAAACAAATGATGGTACCCTCCCTCAAAAAGTTTGTATCAGGAATTGGGTGATTAAAATTTGATATGTTTTATGCAAGAGGAATAACACTGAAAGAAAACACACCAAAATGCCGACGGTGGTAATTGGTGGTATCTGGATTGGTGTGAGTAGTGGTGATTATTGTCTCTCTACTTTTTAAATTTTTTATAAGAAGCTTACAGTACTTTTACCACAAATATGTATAATAAAGTGTCTGTTCCTTAGTTCTGTCAGTACTCTAATCAGTATCTTCAGACAAAAACAGCCATCTGAAAGCCAGGAATGGTGGCATGAGACTATAGTTCCAGCTATTTGGGAGGCTGAGGATCCCTTGAGCTCAGGAGTTTGAGACCAACCTGGGTAATACAGCGAGACCCCCATCTTTTAAAAAAAATAAAAATAAAAAAGGCATCTGCTATTTCCTGAAGGCTGTCCTCCAGAGCAATCCAGCAGCAGATCTCTTTGCAAACTTCTGTAAAGGAAATAATTATCACCTAATTTGTCTACTTTTTGAATTTAGGTTTTAATTATCTTATATGAAGGAAATCTGTAGCTATAAAATTAGACATGTTTGATAAAAGTCTTTATTTGTAGAGTTATCTTTCCAAAATACTAATTTGGACACATTATTTCTCTACTCGATAATCAATGGTGACTGCCATTTTCCTTAGCGTGGCCTGCTAGACTTTTGTGAGTTGTTCCTAACAGAATCTTCCAGCCTCATTGCTCACATTTCCCCCAAACATACCCAAGGCTCTAACCTTCTCAAATTACTTTTTAAAGCCCTACTTATTTACAAAGACATCTTCCTTTTAACCTTCAGGCCTTTGTAAAATGCTCATTCCTCTACTGAAATATCCTTTCCCTCTCTTCTTTTCTTGCAGAGCTCATTGTATCAGACCTCCTGGTGAAGTTTCTAGCACAGCTTTTTTCCCTTTCCCTCTTAGAATTAATGACGCCTCATCTGTACTTCCACAGCTTTTCCAAATACTTCATACACAGCCTGTGTCATTGTTAGTTATTTGCACTGCAACCTGGGGAAGGGTGTTTTTCTGCTTTGTAATATTATGAAGTCTGAAATTGGGGCTGTGACTGATGTATCTTACTTACATTTGCGAAATTGGTTGTCTGATCTGCTTGGATAGTCTGGTCATCTCAATTGTACAATCTGTGTCCCATTACTTTACTTTCCTTAAAATACAATGATCTCAGATCCCAACCCTGATCTACTCCCGTGAGTGGGACATTGAACCTCAGTCTGCTGTCAGGCTCTCCAGCATCATGTAATCTGAAAGTCCTTCACGGTCCTGTGAAGATTGTTAACTGTGCAGCCATGAGGTCTGGGATCTTGAGGCAGGGATACCAGGCTGGTGTCCTGTCTCTTGCTCACTACTCCTATGTACTGCCACAGGTTAGGACTTGAGTCCCCCATCTCCTTTAAAAAATGGTTTTATTGAGATATAATTGATCATAATAAACCACACATATTTAATGTATATATTTGATAAGATTTGACAGGCACACCCATGAAACCATCACCACAATCAATATAGCTAACGTATCCATCACCGGCAAAAGTTTGTTGCACCCTTTTGTAAACTCCTCTCTCCTATTCTCCCAACCTCTCCTCCCATCTCATCCTCATGCAATCACAGATCTGCTTTCTGTCGCTGTAGGTTGGTTTGCATTTTCTAGATTTGTTTGCATTACAAAAATGGAGTTGTGCTATATGTATTCTTTTTTCTGGCTACTTTCATTCGCATAATAATGTTGCGATTTATCCATATTAATAGTTCATTATTCTTTATTGCCGAGTATATTCTATTGTATGAATATATCAAAATTTATTGATCCATTCACTGTAGAGGGATATTTGGGTTGTCTCAGCTTTTGGCTATTATGAATAAGCTGCTAGGAATATTCATGTAAAAATCTTTTTTTTTTTTCTTTTTTGCTCTGGAGTTTTGCTCTTGTTGCCCAGGCTGGAGTGCAATGGCATGATCTCAGCCCACCGCAACCTCCACCTTCCAGGTTCAAGCGATTCTCCTCCCTCAGCCTCCCAAGTAGCTGGGATTACAGGCATGCACCACCATGCCTGGCTAATTTTGTATTTTTATTAGAAGCAGGGTTTCACCAGGTTGGTTAGGCTGGTCTCAAACTCTCAACCTGAGGATCCACCTGCCTTGGCCTCCCAAAGTGCTGGGATTACAGGCGTGAGCCACTGCGGCCGGCCATCAAGTACAAATCTTTATGTGGTCATATGCTTCTTTTCTTTCTTTTGGGTAAATATATTGGACTGGGATGGATGGATTGTATAGTAGGTATATATTTAACTTTCTAAGAACTGGCAATTGGTGTTCCAGAATGACTGTACTGTGTTACACTCCTCTGGGCATTCTATGAGTGTTTCAGTTCTCTCTGTGCAGCTCCCTGCTCTTTAGGTCTTTGTCCTTCAAACTCTAGCACCTGAATACCCCCAAGCATTGTCTTATCAACTCAGGGAGTCTGCCACACTCACATTCGGTTCCCCATCCCTGCACCATGGCCTGGAAACTCTCAAGACAGGAGGCTGGGGCAGTTTCAGGGCTTGTCTCATTGGTTTTCTGTTCATTGCTGGATGTCTAATGTATTAAAATCCATTCGTCTATCATATATTTGATCTGGCTTTTTGGTTGTTTTGGGTGGGGAGTTAAATCTGGTTTCTGATACTCTGCCTTGGCGGAAAGTGTAAGTTTTCAGTGCCCACTGCTGGGGAGGGGTGGAGAGCACTCACGAGTTCCTTTTGGAGATTGAGTTAGAGAAGGTGTGAGAGGTTACATACCTGCTCTGGAGCCTTTACCCCACTGTTCCCTCTGTGTGGAAAATACTCTTCCCGGACCTGCATATGCCAAGGTCCAATATTCCAGGGCTTAAATCAATTGCCAAATAAGCTTTGCCTGTGTTACTGTCATCCCTACTCGTTTTCCATCCTATTATCCTATTTTATTCCCTTGATAGCACTTAACATTTCTGAAATTATGTCATTTGTTAACTCATTTATTATCTATCCTACTCCAGTAAAATGTAAGCTCCATGTCAACAGGGGCCTCTCTGGTCATGCCCACTGTGCTAACCCATTTTGAGGGTGTCTGGCCCCCAGGGAGTGCTCTGGTGAATTTGTGGAGTGAATATTAAGATGAAGATGATGCTAAGTAGGCAGTGGATATGTGAGTCTGGAGCTCAGGGGAGAGGAAAGGTGAAGCCTGATGATACCCATTTAAGAGTCACTGCTTAAAGGTGGCATTTAAATTCATAGGAATGAAGGAGACCCCTTGTATTAAGGAAGAGAGGAGCAGAGGGCCCCAGATAGGACCCTAAGAAATCTCTGAATATAGAGCCCATATCTCAATTGTGCCTTTGAAATTTTTGTCATCTAGTTTTAGTTTTCTTCTTTTCCTCCTTGAAATTGCCTGCCAATTTTTAGAGCCCTCTCCTTCCTTTATACCATCATGAGTTGTGCACTTCGCCTATTTTCCTGATTAAGATCATAATCCTCTTAAGGGAATGATCCTATAGTCAACATTACATTCTTGAATTGAATTGGTTTGCACTGGAGTGGACTGGAGTGATCAGTATTATCACATTATAGAATTTCACCCACTGAAGTGCCAGTGTTAAATGTATTAATATTTCAAGTTAATGGATACTGTGCCCAAGTTTTTAGTGAATTATTAACTTTCCATTATAAAAGTTTGTTTTTGTTCTCAAATCAATTATCAGATTTAACACAGAAATGAACTCATGTAAACATACAGTGATAGAATTGTATTTTTCCCTAAACTTTCAGGACATTGAAAGAGACTTCAAACAAATTAGGCTTCAGTACACAAAGGAAAGTAAAAATCGAGAACAGAGATATAAAGCTAAGGTAAGAAATACTTTTGTCTTTGGGTTCCATATTAAATAGCTGGCTGGGGAGCCACCTTGTGATCTGGGTTGCCTACAAGATTTTCTTCTATTTTATAGAATTGCTCTATTTTCTGATGTGAGACCAATGGTTTTAAGAATCTATACTGTCAAATAAAATTGACCTAGGGAGTTGTAATTTAGTGGCTTTTATTGAATTGCTATACTGATTTTTTTCTTTCCTTTCTCCTAGAAAGGGGTAAAGTTTGAAATTAATTTAGACAAATGTATTTCTGATGAAAACATCCTCCAAGAAGAAGAGGTATGCCATTAAGTCTAAATTTCCATTAGTAGGTATGAGAAAATACACCTATCTTACCTAATAACATGTTTCATGACATTACTTCACAGGCTGTAGGGATAATTTTTTCAACTTTTAGATTCAGGGATACATGTGCAGGTTTGTTACCTGGATATATTGCGTGATGTTGAGGTTTGGGATATGAATGATCCCGTCATCCAGGTACTAAACATAATACTCAGTAGTTTTTCAAGCCATGCTCCCTTCCTTTTTCCCCCCGACTGTAGCAGCTCCCAGTATCTATGCCATCTTTATGTCCATGAGTACCCAATGTTTAGCTCCCACTTATAAGTGAGAACATGCAGAATTTGGTTTTTTATCCCTGTGGAATTTAGATAGTGGTGCCCAGCTGCCTTCATGTTGCTGCAAAGGACATGATTTCATTCTTTTTAATGGCTGCATAGTATTCCATGGTGTATATGTACCACATTTTCTTTATCCAGTCCACCACTGATGGGCATCTTGGTTGTTTCCATGACTTTGCTATTGTGAATAGTGCTGAGATGAACATGTGTTTTTTTGGTAGAATGATTTGTTTTCTTTTGGATATTTTCACAGTAATGGGATTGCTGGGTTGAACAGTAGTTCTGTTTTAAGGTCTTTGAGAAGTATCCAAACTTCTTTCTATAGTGGTTGAACTAATTTACATTACATTCTTACCTACACTACGTAAGCACTCCCTTTTCTCTGCAGCCTCACCAATATTTGTATTTTGACTTTTTAGTGATAGCCATGCTGAGTCATGTGAGATGGTATCTCATTGTGGTTTTGATTTGCATTTCTCTGATAATTAGTGATGATGGGTATTCTTTCATATATTTGTTGGCTGTTTACATGTCTTTTGAGAAGTGTCTGTTTCTGTCTTTTGTCCACTTTGAAATTTGGGTTTTCTTTTCTTGTTCAGTTAAGTTCCTTATAGAGTCTGGATATTAGACCTTTGTTGGACTCATAGTTTGCAAAAATTTTCTTCCTTCTGTAGGTTATCTGTTTGTTGATAGTTTCTTTTGCTGTGCAGAAGCTCTTTAGTTTAATTAGGTCCCACTTGTCAATTTTGTTTTTGCTGTAATTGCTTTTGAGGACTTAGTCACAAATTCTTTCCCAAGGCCCATGTTCAGAATGGTGTTTCCTAGGTTTTCTTCTAGGATTCTTTTAGTTAGAGAGTTAAAGGTTTTTTTTTTTTTTTTTTTTTTTTTGAGGAGGAGTCTCACTCTGTCGCCAGGTTGGAGTGCAGTGGCGTGATCTCGGCTCACTGCAACCTCCGCTTCCTGGGTTCAAGCAATTCTCCTGCCTCAGTCTCCTGAGTAGCTGGGACTGCAGGCCTGTGCCACCATACCCAGCTAATTTTTATATTTTACTAGAGATGGGGTTTCCCCATGTTGGCCAGAATGGTCTCTATCTCTTCATGTTGTGATCTGCCCACCTCAGCCTCCCAAAATGCTGGGATTACAGGCGTGAGTCACTGTGCCTGGCCATAGTTAAAGATCTTACATTTAAATAGTTAATTCATCTTGAGTTAATTTTTATATACAGTGAAAGGCAGGGGTCCAGTTTCATTCTTGCACATATAGCCAGCCAGCTATCCCAGCACCATTTATTGGATAGGAAATCCTTTCCCCATTGCTTATTTTTGTCAGTTTTGTCAAAGATTAGATGCTGTAGATAGGTAGCTTTATTTCTGGTTTCTCTATTCTATTTCTTGGTTTATGTGTTTGTTTTTGAACCAGTACCATACTGTTTTGGTTACTGTAGTCTTATGGTATAGTTTGAAGTTGGGTAACATGAGGACTCTGGCTTTGCTTTTTTTGCTTAGAATTACTTTGGCTATTTGGGCTCTTTTTTGTTTACATATGAATTTTAGAATAGTTTTTTTTTTTTTTTCTAATTCTGTGAAGAATGACATTGGTAGTTGAATATAAATGTGTTGAATCTGTAGATTGCTTTGGGCAGTATGGCCATTTTAATGATATTGATTATTCCAATCCATGAGTGTGGAATGTTTTTCTATTTGTTTGTGTCATCTATGATTTCTTTCTGTGTTTTGTAGTTCTCCTTGTAGAGATCTTTCACCTTCTTGGTTAGATGTACTCCTAGGTATTTTATTTATTTATTTTTTTGGTGGCTATTGTAAATGGGATTGCATGCTTGATTTGGCTGTCTGCTTCAATGTTCTTGATGTATAGGAATGCTACTGATTTTTATATTTGATATCGTATCCTGAAACTTTGCTGAAGTTGTTTATCAGCTCCAGGAACCTTTGGGTGGAGTCTTTAGGGGTTTCAAGGTATAGAATCATATCATCCATGAAGAGATAGTTTGACTTTTTCTTTTCTTATTTGGATGCCTAGAATTTTAAAAAATATTTCCAGAAAAATATTTGGTGTTCAAATGAGTCTTCCAAGTGCTTTTTATTCTCTGATTTTATTTTATTGTGGTTATTTCTTTAGGTAAATTATATTTTAATTTACTTTTCTTTAAATAAAGGAGCTATTTCACTCATAATATTATTTGTTATCACAGCCAAATTAAAATAGAAGACCTGAATATTTGGTGTTCAAATGAGTCTTCCAAATGCTTTTTATTCTCCCATTTTATTTTATTGTGGTTATTTCTTTAGGTAAATTATTATATTTTAATTTACTTTTCTTTAAATAAAGGAACTATTTCACTCATAATATTAATTGTTATCCCTGCCAAATTAAAATAGAAGACCTGATATATAGTCAACAACTAATATAATGACCTAAAAAATTGAACAGGTACCCTGAAACTAGGCACATTTATTTTAGGCCTTAATTCATTATTGATAATGTTGGGTAAATCTCATTTATGCATTTGGGCTCTCCTTGCCACAGCAATAACTGTCCCAACACAGTAAATCCAAATTTCATTTTATTACTTGATTTTAACATTTTTTTAATCCTGGTTTTATTAGACCTATAACAAATGTCAAAATTAACTGGTTATTTTTCCATTTTACCTTTTCTGAATTCACCTCTTAAGTCAATGTAGGTATGAATAATTATACACGATGCTCAATCTTTTTCTTTAATGTTCTTTTTTAGCTTAAAACACTTTCATGTTAGCATTTCTTATTTTTATGAGCATTTGCTACATAAAGACTTCATTAGAGTTGTGATAATTAGAATTCACTTCTGTTCAACCATAAGTTCCTAAATGCCCTGGAGCTGTGACATCAGAGTAGAACAGATCTGGGGACCTGCTTCTGGGTGGGAACTTGAGAAGTGGTACTCTCACAGAGCTTCTGTGAAGTGAGGTGCTGTCGTTGCCCTGCTGAAATGAAAAAATGGAGTCCAAGAAGTTTTAACTGCCATTCTTTTTTATTCTTTGCTTCTATCTGCTTGAAACAGAAGTGGTCATTTTGGTATTGACTATAGAATACTAGGAGCAGATTTAGGCACCTGTTTAAGAATGTTGCATACTTAAAGCAGGGCATGAATGACAAAATCTTGAGAGCACTGTAGCATGGAACTGAAGTGGAATAATATTGAAGGCAGAAAGTCTAGGTAAAATTAAGTTGCCTTATGACCAGTGCTTGACACTGTTGACCTGGAGAAGAAATGAAAACATTTCTATTTTCATTTTATTCTGACATAGCTCTAGTTTAAAAACTCTATGGAGTTATTTAGTTTTACTAGGAACACAAAAAATGTGGTTTTTCTTTCTTGCAAAATATGGCTAATTCATCATGAAACACTGTGGAATTGATTTAGGTAATGGATATACTAAATGAAACTTTGACCTTTGAGGATGGCATGAAGTTTAAGGAGTATAAATGTGTAAAGGAGCATTGAGATTATACAGACAAAGCATTTGAAAAACTCCACTGCCCAGAAACAGGTATGGGTCTCTTGAAAGTTGTAACTGAGAAGGAACTGTTTTATTAGCAACCCATCTTGAACTCTGTCCCCATGCATCTGCCTCGCCTTCACTGTTACTTGACCCTCTCTGCTCTCCCTGAGCAAGGCAGAAACACACTTCCTATTCTCCTGCCACCCATACAGAGGCCACGCTCCCTGAGATCCAGCCCTCCTCTCCTGCTCCACACGCACTCCCTCCTGCAGCTTCAGCTTCTCCCACAAACCAAATATACATCACATGGAGGGTAATGGGGTCAGTAGAGACAAAGTAGTGATCTAAATTTGTAACATGTTGAGATTTAGGTCTTTATGGCATCTGTTGCAGATGCTGTGTGAGACTGAAAGCCTGGGGCATATCAGGGATAGATAGCTTGGTGGCCCTTAGCATATCTGTGGTTTTTAACCTTGGTGATGTCAAAATACCTAGGGAGAGGGGCTGGAATGAGAGGGAAATGGAGCTTAGGACAAAACTCTGCCACTATATGGACAAATTTTGGAGACTCAGGAGAGAGTAAAGCCAAAGGAGGAGAGACAGGTCATGGAGGAGGCACAGGAATTGGCAGCATCAACTGGAAGAGAAAGGCCAGGTGAAGTGGGTGGGATTTGGCCCTTCAGGAACCCTTAATGGCCTCAGGGAAAGCGGTCAACTGTGAAAGGGGTAAATTCAACTGTTATCTTTGTGTCAGTTTGCTGGGAAGAGGAGAGCAGGTTGGCTGTTTTTTTAGATGAAAGGAGGAAGAAAAACCCTTCATTAGTGGTATACTGAAAATTGTCTCCCTGTAATTATTATTCAGGCTGAAGAATTTTTCCATATATTTGTTGACCGTTCATATTTTTTCTTTATCTTTTTTTTTTTTTTTTTTGAGATTGAGTCTCTCTCTGTCACCCAGGCTGGAGTGCAGTGGCGTGATCTTGGCTCACTGCAACCTTCATCTCCTGAGTTCAGGTGATTCTTCTGCCTCAGCCTCCCGAAGTAGCAGGGACTACAGGTGCACGCCACCGTGCCCGGCTAATTTTTTTTTTTTTTTTTTGTATTGTTTGTAGAGACAAAGTTTCACCATGTTGGCCAGGCTGGTCTCGAACTCTTGACCTCAGGTGATCCACCGCCTTGGCCTCCCAAAGTGCTGGGATTAGAGGTGTGAGCTACGGTGCCCGGCCAACTATTCATATTTCTCTTATGAATTATGTACTCTTGCCCTTCCTCCTTTTCTCTACTGAAAGCGACGTTTGTTTTTTATAAGATTGATTTAAATCAAACCTTTTCCTTTAATGTATTGCAAGTGTTTTCCCCAGTTGGTTGTCAGATCTCATTTTTAGTAACAGCAAATATGTATGAATGTGTGTGTGTGTATTCATTCACTTAGGAATAAAGTTTACAAGAATTGTGCAGTGTGTAGAAAGAAAACTGTAAATCCTTACTGAGGTATTTCAAGGCCACTTGAATAAATGGAGAGAAATAACAGTGCTATATATTGGAAATACGTTTTTCAAATAAATATTGCACTATCATTGTCTGAGGTATCACCCAGAGCTCTTTGTCTTGTGACCAAAAGAAAAGGAACGCAGACACCAAGGGTGAGTTTGGAGTGAAAGTTTAATGAACAAAAGAGGAAAGCTCTTCACTGCAGAGAGGGGACCCAAGAGGGTTGCCATTTCACAGCTGAATAAAAAGGCTTTTATGAAAAACGTAATGGGGCTGGGTGTTTCACTTGTACAAGGCATGAATTTCTGGCAGCTCCACCCCATCCTCCTGCTGTGCTGACTGACAGGGGCTTGTCTTTGGAAAAGGCACCACTCAGAAAATGACATGATGGTTGGCTGGGCATGGTGGCTCATGCCTGTAATCCTAGCACTTTGGGAGGTCAAGATGGGCAGATCTTGTGAGGCCAGGAGTTCAAGACCAGGCTGGCCAACATGGCAAAAGCCTGTCACTTACTAAACATACAAAAATTAGCTGGGTTTTGTGGTGCATGCCTGTAATCTCAGCTACTTGGGAGGCTGAGGCACAAGAGTCACTTGGACCTGGAATGTGAAGGTTGCTGCAAGCCAAGATTGCACCACCATACTCCAGCCACACTCCAGCTGGGGTGACAGAGCAAGTCTCTGTCTCAAAAAAGAAAACAAAAAGAGAAAGAAAATGACATGATAGTGTAAAGGACCAATTGGAGACTTGGCCAACAACTGACTGAGTGTCAGAGTGATGGTTCATAGAAGCTTGGCTCACAGTCCAAAGTATGCCCCAAAAAGAAAGGAATGTGCTCATTGGAGCCCACCATGAACATGCCCACAAAAGGAGAAGGAACTGTTTCCTGGAGGCCCACTGGTTGCACCAAGGACAAAGGCATTTCTGTGTTGGGCCTTGCTCCCTTATCTATGCAGCTGTGGGCATGTTTTAGGCAAGTTTCCTGTGCTAGTTCCCTTATCTGTGTCTGCAGCTTGATTTTTCTGACTGTTCTTTTGCTTAAAAGAATTCTACCAAGGACCTGCCCTAACTGCCTGCCTAACTGGTTCGTTCTTTCTCCACCCTCAAAATGTGGATTTATGGCCATTTCAATCAAAACCACAGTAGGACTTTTTTTTTTTAATGGTATAGGGAGATCTCAGCAGGTTGGAGAATTCTAGAGCTTCTTAAGTAGCCAAAAATTTTGAAAAAGTACAGTGAAGTGGAATTTACCTTTCCAAACGTCAAAATATATTACAGAAATTATAGTCATTCAAACAGTATGATAGCAGCACCCAAGTAGCTAAAACAGTGAGAAGAGAAAGTTAGAAACAAATCCTAGCATGTATCATAATTCTGCACACATGAAAAGTAACAACACAAGTCAGTGTGAAAAGAAAGGACTCTTCAAATAAATGCTGCTGGGCCAACTGGTTAATAGTTTGGGGAAGATTGTGAAATCAGACCCTAAATAATATGATACAACAAAATAAATTTTAAAAAATCAGAGTTTATATGTAAAAAAGTTATACATTAGAAAATGGAATAAAAGAGTACAGGTAATTTTTTGAACAGGGAAGAGCTAGCTGTTCAAAGGACATAGAAAAATATCACAGAATAAATTAGTAATAATTCAACTTTAACAACAAAAAGCTTTAGTAAAGCAAATAATACTAACCCCTAGAATTATCATTTTCAATTATTTAGTTTAAATAATCATAAATGTCCACAAAAATTTAGCCACAAATGAGGTCATTATATAATGGTGTTATTAATAATAGTGAAAAATCACCAGCAGCCTAAAATCTGGCAGGAAAGGATTAGTTACATAATATTACATTCATGAAGCAGAATACTACATTTGCTTTAAAATAGCTGTATAGAAGAATCCCAAAGTGCTGGGATTACAGGTGTGAGCCACCATGCCTGAAGGAGGCCACGCAGTAGGCTGGAGAAATAGGCCAAGTGACAGGTGGATATTGGGACAGCTGGGACTAGAGAGGAAATAAGTTCTTTTCTTCCATCCCCCTTCCCTCCCTCCCTCCCTCTCTCCCACCTTTCTTTCCTTTCTTCCCTACTCCTTTCTTCCGCTCTCCTGCCCTTTTGTTCTTCCCTCTCCTTTTCCCCCTCCCTCCTCCCTTTCTTCCTTCCCTCCCTCATTCCTTCTCTTCCTTTCAACTCTTTCCTCCCCTCCATCTGTCCTCCCCTTTCCTATCTTTCCTTCTCTCCCTCCTTTTCACTCCTCCCTTCCCTCCTTCCTTCCGTAGTTCTCAAACACTGATCCAGCACCTTCTGCACGCCTAGCACTAACTAGCTACTGAGTCTGCCACAGGGAGTGGCCTGTGCTGCTGCGGAGCTTCCAGTCTAAGGAGAGCGAGGCCATCAGCCCCTGCCAGGCACTTCCTGCAGGGTGCTTTAGGAAGTGGGAAGTGCTGGGGAAAAACAAAAACGAACCCAGGACAGGCCAAGGAAGGGAGCTGCTGGGAGGAGAGGGATGGGCGGGCCATGTCCTTGCTGGATGGTGGTGAGGGAGGCAGCCCTGAATGCAGGGGGTGCTGGAGGGGACAAGGGTCTTCTGGAGTGAGGGTGGTCGGGGTGGAGGGAACAGCTAAAGCAGATGCCTGGAGAGATGTGTGAGCATCAGGCAGGTGTGAGGATGGAGAAGGGTGGTAGGTGGGAAAGGGAGGGAGACGGGTGGAAGGTGAGGCTGGAGGCAATGAGGAAGCTCAGCGTCCCTTTCCCAAAAGCTGAACCTGGTGGCTCAGACCGAGGAAAATGGGGCCGCTGTGGGTCTGAGCAGAGGAGGGTGCAATGGATTCAGCTCATACAGGTCTCCTGTGGCTGGAAGTGGAGAGAGGCTGGGGCAGAAGTAGGGAGTGAACCAGGGCCTTGCTGCTGGATGCATATTCAAGGTGATGTCAAGCAAATCTGCTGACTGATGGAGTACAGGAGAAAAAGGCATTGATCTGACCCAGGCCCTGGGGACTGAACACTGGAGAGAGGAGCTGCCATCCACTGCAATGGGGAAGGAGCGGGGCAGGTCTATACAATGGGCAACTCACAAAGACAAGAACAAAGCCAGACCCGCCAGCTCCCACTCAGCTCTCCCCTCCCCATCGCCCACACCAGGGTCTTTGTCTTCCTGCCTGGTCCGTCCCTTTCCCAAAAGCCGAACCTGACTGTGATTCCTCTTCTTGGTGATGAAGAAATTCAGAGGGAGGAGGCTCAGGAAGGTAGCGATGGTGGAGGGACCCAGGAGCTGGGGACAGAGGGAACAGAATATCAGGAGATCCCAAGGATCCCAGCTGCCAGAGGCATGTGAACCACAGCAACTCCATCTTGAATAGGAGCTGGGTAAAAGGAGGCTGAGACCTACTGGGCTGCATTTCCAGGTGGTGAAGGCATTCTAAGTCACAGGGTGGGACAGGAGGTCAGCACAGGATACAGGTCACCGAGACCTTGCCAGTAAAACAGGCTGCAGTAAAGAAGCCAGTCCAAACCCCACCAAAACCAAGATGGCCAGGAGAGTGACCTCTAGTCGTCCTCACTGCTACATTGCCACCAGCGCCATGACAATTTACAAATGCCATGGCAACATCAGAAAGTTGCCCTATATAATCTAAAAAAGGGGAGTCATGAATAATCTACCCCTCGTTCAGCATGTCATGGAGAAATAACCCTAAAGATGGGCACCAGTGCCCTCTGGGCTGCTCAATGGAGTAACCATTCTATCTTTACTTTCCTAGAAAAACTTGCTTTTTCAGGAAAGAATAAACTTGCTCTGTGGCTCACACCTGTAATCCCAGCACTTTGGAAGGCTGAGGCAGGCGGATCACCTGAGGTCAAGAGTTTGAGATCAGCCTGGCCAACATGGTGAAACCCCATCTCTACTAGAAATACAAAAATTAGCCAGGTGTGGTGGCAAGCACCTGTGATCCCAGCTACTCAGGAGGCTGAAGCAGGAAAATCCCTTGAACCCAGGAGGCGTAGGTTGTAGTGAGCCAAGATCACACAACTACCCTCTGTCTAGGCTGGGCAACAGAGTGAGAGTCCATTTAACAAACAAAAAACAATAAAAAAAATCCCAAAACAACCCCAAAAAATGTGCTTTTACTTTATGGACTCACACTGAATTGTTTCTTGCACGAGATCCAAGAACCCTCCCTTGGGGTCTGGATTGGGTTCCCTTTCCTGTAACACAGCTGCAGATCCTGAAGATGGTCAGACTTGGATCCTAAGATGTGGAGTCGGGGAATGTGATAAGGACAGCCACCAGGTCCCAGGGATCTGGGCTCATAGGGGTCTGCTGTTTTAGGAGGCGCCTGCTGAAGATGGGTTCCTTCAATGTCAGGGAGGGGAATGGCCCACTTATGCAATGGGGAGAGAATCATATTCAAGACAGAACATGCACACACACAGGAGTAGGACTGAGGGGTG